GTCTCCAGTTCATGGCTAGTGGTCAGATCTGTGCACAGGGTATACTGTTCATATCTGTGCAGAGGGTGTACTGTTCAGATCTCTGCATAGGGTATACTGTTCAGATCTCTGCATAGGGTATACTGTTCATATCTGTGTATAGGGTACACTGTTCAGAGATCTGTGCACAGGGTATACTGTTCATATCTGTGCAGAGGGTGTACTGTTCAGATCTCTGCATAGGGTATACTGTTCAGATCTGTGCAGAGGGTATACTGTTCAGATCTGTGCAGAGGGTATACTGTTCATATCTGTGCATAGGGTACACTGTTCAGAGATCTGTGCAGAGGGTGTACTGTTCAGATCTCTGCCTGGGGTACACTCTTCAGATCTCTGCATAGGGTACACTGCTCAGAACTCTGCATGGGGTACACTCTTCAGATCTCTGCATAGGGTATACTGTTCAGATCTGTGCAGAGAGTATAGATTGGTCACATTTGCAGTGTGTAGATTGGTACATGGACTGTGGAAATTGCCTGTTAGTCGGGCTCAGGGAGGCTGTTCAAGCATATGGTACTTTTGTATCAGTCATTTGTGACTCAAAAAACAGTGTGTAAGAATTGAGGAAGGTGTGAGCATTTATTAATTATTAGTAAAAACTCTGTTAATGTTAGTCAGATTTGTGTTCCATAAATGAAACAATTTGAATGTAGAATTGACTACTAAAATGAATTAAAATGTGTTTTCATTATTTTAAGTTTCTGCTTTTCAAAATGTTTGCTAAATCTTAGATTTGTACTTACCTTGGATTCTAGTTTACTAACATCCAAGCAAGCTTTACAGAACTTTTTTGATGAAAACAGTCACTCTTTCTTGTGAAAGTAGCTGCAAATTGAACGATGACAATAGAGGTCATTCCAGAGAGGTACAGGACCAGCCTTCAGGAATTTGGTTGAGAAGTGTTGTTTCTCAGTATAGCTGAGTTCAGGCTTTGCCACAATGACAGAGAAGTGCAAAGTCCATAGTGCATTGCTCACAAAGACACTGGCTAATGAAACAGTGTAAGCATTAAAATGTATGTGGTATTTGAATGCAGGACACACATGGCCTCAAAATAAATTGATCCATAGAATGCATTTGGCTTCATCATAAAAACAGATGTTCAGGATTATTGTAATCATGAATTAGTAATTTGTGAGTTTCTTACCAAGCCTTTCTTTGGGTTTCCAGTATTAAAACAGAACAGGGCTGGAGGAATGGCTCTGCCCTAAATTTCAGGGAACTGAGTTTGATCCATATAACAAATTCAGCCATGGGGCCGGAGAGATGGCTCAGAGGTTAAGCGCACTGGCTGCTCTTCCAGAGGTCCTGAGTTCAATTCCCAGCAACCACATGGTGGCTCACAACCATCTATAATGAGATCTGGTGCCTTCTTCTGGTGTGCAGGTATACATGCAGACAGAACACAGTATACATAATAAATAAATCTTAAAAAGTTAAAAAAAAAATTCAGCCATGGCAGCCTGAGCGTGCCTTTGTAATCCCCCGCACTTCGGAAGCGGAGATGGGTAGGTAGGTCATGGAGATTGCTAAGCCGACTCTGTTTAGTGAGCTCTGAGCAAATGTAGAGACTATCTCAAGTAAATAAATAAATGTGACAGTGCTTAAGGAATGACAATCCTGTCCTCTGGCTTCTATAAGTGTGCGTTCATCACCCTAGGCTGATCTGTGCGTAGGGTATAGACTAGTCAGATCTGCATAGTGTATGGACTGTTAAAGGTACCATGGGAAGCTGCATGTTGTTAGGAACAAGACAGCATTCAACAGTCAGCTCTCAGACAAATAAGAACTTCCATAGACCGAATAACCTGTTGGTTATTGACACAATAAGAAACAAGTTATTTTTCAGCTTCGTTGCTGACAGACCAAACTTGCTGTAAAATACATGAGTTTTAAAGGACTATACTACATTTTGTTTGTAGTTTTGCTTTGCTTTTGTTATGTATATTGTTCCTCCAGCGTGTACATTTGCAGGCCAGAGAGGACACCAGATCTCATTACAGGTGGTTTTGGGTCACCATGTAGTTGCTGGGAATTGAACTCAGGACCTCTGGAAGAGCCACCAGTGCTTTTAACCACCTGGCTATCTCTCCAGCCCCCTTGCTTTGCTTTTGTATTAATACACTGTGATTATGATGAAGTAGGCATGCCCAAAAGATGCTGGAGCGTGCATCAGAGTGTGAGTGGAGAGCTACTTTCTTTCCTCTTTGGGAAAGCCTTGCTGCATTAGCCGAACTCCTACAGCACTGGGGAATAAACACCAATGCTTTAAATCTGAGATCCCTGAAAACTGTTCGTTCGAGGTTGATCTTATCATTCAGGCTAATCAACTCTTGTATGCCGAGTGCTTATGCATTGGCTTTCAAAGGGAAAACTTCAGCAGAAGTATTTGAACTTCGGGGTGAACTTTGGCTGTTTTTGCAAGATAAGAGTGTAGTTTGGCGGCCAGCTTTATAAATATGTGCCTTAGACTTACTTGGCTGCTGGCACACCCCCACCCCCCACTTGTCTCCTTTTTAATTATCGTAACCTTTTGTGCTAGGAAGGAATGTCAGATGTTTTTCGGTGGCAGATAAGATCAAAGAAAGAAACAAGAGGTAGAAATTATAGGGTGAAGTTTCTATAGCTTGCCTTCGTGGGTTCACGGTGAGTGAGAATAATCAACGAAGTCGGTGGTTGCTGTGGCAGTGCACATCTGAGAATTCCTGTCAGATCCCCTAAGATCAGATGGGATGAAAAGATGTATGTGTGGCCAGTTCATACACCAGGAATCCATTTGTCCTCTGAAGGCAATTTGAGACTTTACAATAATTTTGCATATAAAATACTTCAGGTGGCCACTAGTGAAATATTGAAAAAAAAATTTTACAAAACGTAGGCTGCAGATTTTCAATTAATGTTTTGTGTTTGTTTTGGGTCCCCCCCCCATAGTCTTATGGTTGTTTTGTTTATGATCTACCAAAGTTTGCCTAAAGATCAGAGAAGCAAAGCAGCCAGCCACTAGAGTTCTCCGCTCCACCGGTGCTCAGACTGAGATCCCGTCCTCAGATTGCGTCTCCAGACTGCACTGTTCTCCAGCAGACCTCAGACTTCTTTAGGAATGCATCGAGTTCCTGTCTCTTACGGCCTTATAGTCCTCTCTCAGCCCAAAGAACTCTCTAGTGACTGGCTACCTTGCTTTTTTGATCTTTAGGCAAGCTTTAGTAGATCATAAAGTATCACCACAGAGTTTCTCAGGGTAGCCCAGGCTGTCCTGGCACTTGCTCTGTAGACCAGGCTGGCCCCGAACTCAGCTGAGATCCGCCTGCCTCTGCCTCCTAAGTGCTGTAATTAAAGCCAGTGGAATTAAATACTGGCTCAGCTAGTGTTTTTGAAAAAATGATTTTTCTGAACTTTGTGAAGTTTTTAAAATTACTTTTGTCAACATGCTTCTATGAGACAAGTTTCTAAGTGCTATGGAAACAAAGTGTTTTGCTACAGACTTAACCATGTGCTAATGTAGTCTAGTGTAGATGAGTCAACAAATACAGTGAGGAGCCTTTAAGCTGGGCCCTGATGAGCCCTCTCTCTGGTACTTACACCCAGTGCAACCCCCTGTCAGTGTCACACCAGGTGATCCATATGTATTGTAAGAGGAGGGATGCCACCTTGAGACTGGGGTGTGGCAGACTCTGCAGCTTCCGGCCTGGTCCCTGTGTCTTCTCTCTAGAAGCCTGTTGCCATGTGTTAATTAGGCCTCTAGAAGGCCCCGCATAGGGAGGAATTGAGGCCTCGGGCCTACAGCCAGAGAGGCACTGAATCCTTTTGCCCACTGATGCCTGAGTGTATGCTTGGCGGCCAAGTCTGCAGCTCAGTAAAGCCTGCGGATGACTGTAGCACCGACCAACATCTTGACAAAAGGCTCACAGGGGACCCTCAGTCTTAATTACCGCCTAAGCTGGCTTCTGAATTCCCAAACAACACAAGATTTGAGGCAATGAATGTGTGTTTCCTTAAGTTTGGGAGTAATTTTTATGTAGTGGGAGACAATACAGAGAGCAGAGGACAGCTTGTTGCGTGGGATACTTTTAACTATCGACAGTGCTATTGATCAGCTGTAAATTAGCGTTTAATTTGAGGAAGCACTGGTTAAGTTTGCAGCATGAAGAGCGAGTTACCAGTATATAAGTAGTTGCAAACTTTATGCAGGTTTTTTTCTGTTCTAATTATATTTTGTGTTTATGTTTTGGAATTCAACGAGACACCTAACTTTGAAAATAAAAATCATTTTCAAAAAGAAAAAATAAGCCAGGCTTTGGTAGTATATGCCTTTAACCTCAGCACTCAGGAGACCAAAGCAGGTGAATCTCTGTGAGTTTGAGACAGCCAGGACTACACAAAGTCCTGTATCAAAAAAAGGCAAAAAGCCGGGCGTTGGTGTCGCACGCCTTTAGTCCCAGCACTCAGGAGGCAGAGGCAGGCGGATCTCTGTGAGTTCGAGGCCAGCCTGGTCTACAAAGTGAGTTCCAGGACAGCCTCCAAAGCCACAGAGAAACCCTGTCTCGAAAAACTAAAAAAAAAAAAAAAAAAGCCAAAAAATAAAATATAAAGAGAAGTGAATTTTCACCACAGGTGGTCTAGGAGATCATTCTGTTCCAGTCCCTAGCATGTCCAGCATTGGCCTAAGTGTTGTGGTCATATTACCACTGTACTGTACCTGGTAGCATTCCTTGTTGACAGGGCCGCCTAGAATAGCTCCTGACACTCACAGCCACTTGGGTTTTTGCTGAAAGAATTAATGTGCTTTTCTACTTTTTCACCTATTGTGTTAGAACGAGGATTAAATCCTGCTGCTGTAAATAAGTGCTGACTGTGTGTCCTCAGGGAGTGCTAATTGCTCAGGCTGAAGAGGAAAATGGCCATGGCATTTTTCCTTCAGAGTGCTAGTGGTGTTTATGAAATACTCACTTTTATTTCCGCAGCACAACCACTGCCTCAGAGGATGATGTCTCAAGCAGATACCCCCGGACAGACAGAAGTGGCTTCAACAGACACAGCAGAGATGCAAATAGCACATTGGAAAAGAGAATTGAAGATCTCGAGAAGGTATGAATTGTAAATTATTCAAAATAAAATTAACTTAGCATCCCCCTCCCAGTTTCATGCCATTATACCCAGAGGGGGAGAGGGGCACCAGCAGGACACACCTGGTTCTACTCCAGGAGCAACTTTGACTCCATCCTATTCCTTTGCCTCTAGGCCCCGGTGGCTAGGTATTTCCCAGTGTTTTTAGTGCTTTTCTGTGATAGCAGAACTTCAGAAATGGGGCAACTTCTTGAACTCCTTAGTCCAGTAGCCATTGCTGTTCTGTCGACTCTGACTTGTGCAATAGCAGTGTTTCTAGGGGCTTGGGTGTCTGCCCTGGCGGTCCGTATGCCTATATGCTGTATCACCTGAACCGGTTGTTACTTTAGACCGTTCAGTGGTTCTGAGTTAGGTCCCTATTTGGTGCTTGAGCCATTTTATGTGGGAATAAGATAAACTTGCAGATGCCTTCGCAGCAATTCAGATGAACGTTGCCCTAAAGCTATGAACCCCAGAATCTCAGGTGTGTCCCACGGACATTGATCTAAAGTCCACAGTGGTGCTTGTTGTAGAATATTATTTTAAGGTGTGTTACATTTGTTTATGCTCTGGAACATTAGTTTAGTGATGTAAAGATGTGTGACTTTGTTTGGCTCTGTGAAGCTGTGGTTCTTTGTCTGAAACACCTGATGGTCTAATAAAGAGCAGATCGGCCAGTCGCAAGACGGGAGCAAGGATAGGTGGGGCTGGCAGGCAGAGAGGAGAATAGGAGAGATCTGGAAGAGGAGGAGCAAGATAGAGGACTTCAGGGGCCGGCCACCCAGCCAGCCGCGGAGTAAGAGAGAAAGTAAAACATACTGAAGTAGGGAAAGGGAAAAGCCCAGAGGCCAAAGGTACTTGGGATAATTTAAGTTAAAAAAAAAAAAAGCTGGCTAGAAACAAGCCAAGCAAAGGCCTGGCAGTTATTAGAAATAATAAGCCTCTGTGTATGTGTGTGATTTATTTGGGAGCTGGGTGACAGGGACCTCAAAAGACCCTGAAGAACAAAAAAGCCAAAAGAGAAAAGAGCAAGAAGAGCCAAAAGAGTGAAACCAGCAGCTACAACAATGCACATAACGTATGTTGGTGACGTGCGTCCTCGTCTCCGTCTCCCCCACCACTCCCGTCAGTCCTCTTCCCAAGCAGCCCCCACTTCCGCGTGTGTGCGTGCGTGCGTGCGTGCGTGCGTGTGTGTGTGTGTGTGTGTGTCCAGTGAGTTTCTCTGGGGTTGTTTACAGGCTCACGGGCATCTCTCTACACCACTAAAAAGAATGCCTCTACCTCCTCTCCCACCATTGCTAGTGGTGCTCAGGGTAGCTCTGAACTCCTAAGCTCCAGTTGTCCCCCTGCCTCAGACTCCCAACTGTAACCATAAGTACGGTCCACCACGCCCCCATAAATGGAATCTCCTTTAAGGGAAAACAGCAACCGCAAACACACCGTTCCCTCTTTAATTCACAAATGTCTTCAGTACTGTTCTTTTAAAAAATGTGCAGAGGCTCTTCTTTCCTGACAAAGGGCGGTGGCATTGTCACAGTTGTGTCTTCAGTGTCCTGTCCCCTGTGGCTGAAAGGGGCCAGTGTTCACAGTCTTGCGCTGTTGTTGATGGGTGCTAGCCATTTTAAAACACTGTGAACAAGCTGTTTCTGGTTAATGCTTTGTGATTTTATTCACCAGGAAGTAGTAAGAGAAAGGCAAGAAAACCTTAGGCTGCTGAGGCTGATGCAGGATAAAGAAGAAATGATCGGAAAACTCAAGGAGGAGATTGATTTGTTAAATAGAGTAAGTATTTTTGTTTTGGGTTTTTTATCTTTACTTACTTATTTGTTTGTTTATTTATGGTTGTTCCCGACAGGATTTCTCTGTGTAACCCTAACTGTCCTGGAACTCTGTAGACACAGGCTGGTCTCTGTGTTGGAACTAAAGGCATGCCCCACTACTGACAGGCCTAATGCCAGGGTTTGGGTTTCTTTTTGTTTGTTTTGGGGTTTTTTGTTTTTTGTTTTGTTTTGTTTTGTTTAGTTTTGTTTTGTTTGAGTAATTGGATGAAACTATGTAAGAGTTGAAGAACCTGCCCATTGCCTTGTATGGTTGGCTCATTGGTTAATAATATAGCATTACTGGTAAGATCTACCTACCGTTTCATCCCGTATCTGTATCCTCACCACCTCTTCAGGTGATGCTTAGGAATTTTCCCAGCTCTGGGTTGAGGCCGCAGGCTGTGCAGTGTTCAGTTTTGGAACCCTCCCTTTTTGTGCTCAGCCCTAGAATTTCCTTTCCTGCTCTAGCCAGAGCATCCACGAAGGTGACTGTGGTGAGAAGACATCCCATTGGTGTGATTTCTAAGAGGGCTTTAGAGGGTGGGAGAAAGAAGAGTTTGCTTCAGAGAGAAAAGGCCCAGCCCTCTAATCCAGTCTCAACTCCTACACAAAATAGTTACATGGTAAAGTGCTTGCCTCAGCTGGGCAATGCCGTGGGTTTGATCCCATATGCCACACCTGGAGGGGGCTTCAGTGCCAGTCTCTTCTGATCAGCTCGAAGGCGGGGTTGCACGGGAGCACAGGGCATCCCAGTTAACTTGCTCAAGGTTGCATGGCGGCGGCGGCTAAGCCAGTGTTTGACTTGGGTCTTATGTAGTCTTTTATCTTGATCCTGCTCTAAGCATGTCTTTATTTGTGCTGGAATCCAGTTTAAGAGGCTTGGCAAATATTTGTGATGCCCATGGTGTGTTTGTGCTGTCTCAGACACCAAGAACACTAAAAATAATCAGAAAAATCTCTTCTCTAACTAAGTTTATAATTTAGTCATGATTCATGAATGTGTTTCATAGTTTTAATTTTAGGAACCTTTTCCAAGTATACTGTTTGGTAATGATTCATTTAATTTTAAATGTAGGCGGATCTCAGTTGTGATTTTTGAAACCTTATTTTTATAGTAGTTTGAACAGACTTGTTTCTTAGCATTATTCAGTCTTTGAGTAAGTGCAAATTGCAACTATGCTAACGTTTTGGCCATCTGCCTGGTAGTCCGATAGCAAAGTGTAAGGTCGCGACAGTGCCGCAGCTGTGTGTGGCACTTGTCATGCAGTTGGGCTTTGTGAGTTTTAATATTATAGACTGCAAAGGTAAGACTTTACATGTCTGTGCTTACTTCAAGTGATATTTCTCATATCTAAAACTTACTATGGTTTTAGTACTGAGCGTATGGCTGTGTATCCGTGGCTAGAATTCTAACACAGGGAACACATTTCTCCCCCTCAGTGTGTCTAGATTCACCATTTTAAATCCTTGGCTTCTGGCTATTTTTGAAAACCTGACTGTTCCCGAAGAATAGGCCCATTCAAGTAATGTTGAGGGCATATTTAGTGTAATTTTTTAACTTAATACTTCAACATTAATTGAGTAAATGGGTTGTCTTTGTGTTTTATTTTTATTTCAACTCTCCTTTAGAATATTTTCCAGGATTTTTAAAGTGTTGTTTTCTCCCACTCCCCAGGACCTAGACGACATAGAAGATGAAAACGAGCAACTAAAGCAGGAAAATAAAACTCTTTTGAAAGTTGTTGGACAGCTGACGAGGTAGAAGACTCGAGGCTCGGTGTGGAGAACTCTACTTTTAAACTACTGATTGAATGTCATGGCTAAGGCAAAGATGATGTTCCTGTGATGGAATACGATGAGATAACTGTATATTTATTTCCAGACACCAGATGGATATTGGTTTTCAAAGTTAACTCTTTTTCCTTGTTAGTTTTCAAAAGTATCAACCTTGTATTTCACAAATTATAGTAACACTTTTAGTTATCAAAATGATATAGGTAATGTCTCTTGGTTTTGTGTAATATTCCAGTCATACATGGTTCAAAGTAACAGCCATTTGCATGTTTTATCTATGTCCGTACCTTTTCTCCCTAAAGGAACATGCATAGTCTTTGTTTACATGAATTCAATACTAGGGGGAATTGCCTACAGATGCCTTATTACTAATGTGTGCGGCCTTCTGTGTGTTAGTACTCACTCAGAAAGACCTGTCACCTGTGGTCACCTGCTCTTCCCACTTGCTCTAATGACTTTGAGTAGCAGTAGACACACTATTTTGTATAGCAGTAATCTTTGAAAGGAAATCTATTTTACAGAGTTACCTAATATGTTCTAGCTGGCTAAATATAATCTTAAGAGAATACTTGAACTGTGTTATAGTGAGTGAAAATTTACTATTCTGTGTTTGAATATTGAGAAACTTCAATTACTTCCGAAAACCAGTTAATGTATAGTTTTTTTGTTTTTGTTTTTTGTTAAGTGAGTTTTTATCATGAAAAAGCAATGTGATCTAGGAAACTGACACACTGGTATCTTTCTAAGAAAATGACATAGCAGATTTTCTTAAATAATTTACAAAGAGCAGGAATTAGTGTTCCCTGCCCACCCACAATGCCCTGCCCTGAGCTGATAAGTAGGCCCCAAGAGCTCAGGCTTGCAAAGTCTACAAATATCTCCTCTATTCCTGTGGGGCCCTGTAATGTATAGTTTCTTATGTAGGTACTATCTATCAGGTGGTTTTTGTTTTTTATTGCTCTATGGTTTATTAGTAAATATGGGATATTTAAAAAGTTGTGTATTCTTCTGGCTTCAAGTTGTGTACAGTTTCAGTGTTGAAGAAGAAAATCAGTGCTTTTAATACCATGTGCTTCAAAAATCAGAACCAAAATATTTTTCCACACTTAAAATGTGTATACGTTTGTTAACCTGTGTAAGTAAGCTCAGCTGATTCCTGAGTCGGAGAAACACTGGGATGTGGTTTTTCTTCATGAGAGAATAGTCCCATGCCACAAGGGCTACTGCTTCCTAACACTGAAAATTTTGAAAATTCTACATCCACCTTATTTGAAGATTTATAAAAATAAAGTTGTCTTCTGTTAAATGTTCTTAGTATTATTGTTGTCTTGTGTTGTGTTTCTGTATTAAGACCCCTCGCCCTCCGTTAACACACGGGCACCTCGTAGTTGAATCTTCCCGGTTTTCTTCTCTCTTTTTAATGGTTCTGGGGACTGAACCTGGCAGGCACTCTGGACGGGAGAATTTCAGGTAGACAGCCTGTTTGTTCATCAACATTCAGAACTTGAACATTGGGTGCCCTGCTGGCTTTTTTTATTCCACTTACCAATTCCATTCATGTATTTTTGCTGGAAAAACAGGGAAGATGAGGCAATTGGGGAATACTACCTTCTAGAAGTCTCTTCATTGGCCACCAGTGTCTCTCCAACCCCTCACTTCAGAAGTTTGGGGTTGACCTTCAGAACCTCTTGAGGAACAGAAACATGAGTTCCTGCTGTAGCCCAGAAGAGACATAGTTTAGACCTTGGTCTGGTCAGCACCTGCCAAAGACACTCCCTCTCTCCATGCCCTTTGATGTGTAGATGTTGATGCTACCATTCTGTGCTTGAAGACTTGAACCAGGGCCTGCAATGGCCCCTCTGGTAAAAGTTCCTCCTCTCAGCCCTGGTAAGCCTAGGCTTCAAACTCCAGAACCCACATGGTAGCAGAAGACCCAGCTCCCATGAGTTGTCCTCTGTAAGCATACATACACACACACACACACACACACACACACACACACACACACACACACACACACAGAGGCACTTTCACACTAGATGTAAAGATAATAAAGTGAACCATTATTCAAGAAAACCTGAGTCCATATTTGTCTTTTATTTTGAAATTTTACGGTCTCCCTTTACAGCCCAGCCTGGCTTGAGACTCATTCTGTCACCCAGACCAGCCTCATGATCCTCCTGCTTAGGCCTTTTTAAATTTTTTATTTATGTTTATTTTGCTTAGCTATATTTCCTAACATGGTAGAGTTGCATCTTCACCCTGATCCCGAGTCAAATAGTGAGAGATAAGTGTTTTGTATTAAAATTTTCATATGTGTTTCCAGCAGGCATTTAAGTGGATATCTGCTGACTCCTCCACTTAGCCGAGTATAGTCCATGAAGTGCATACCACGTGCGTGAAGTACAGCCTTAGCTAGCATAAGTCTGTCCCATCTGAATGGCTGGTTCCAGAGTAGGCTTTTGTCACTATTCAGCCCTTGTCTGGCAGGTCTAGTTGGTAGGGACTGTTTCATTTGCTGAAACATTTCTAATCAATAAAGGGAAATAACCGACACACATTGGGAAGATTATTGCCGTGTGTTAATGTAATTACAAATTTAGAAAAGATCATTAAGAAATGCCATAAGTAAAAAAGATTGAATGTATGGCACATACAAAAAATGTTGGTTATATTTGAATGGAATTGGTTGGTTATATTCAAATTTGTATTTTTGTATGCCATCATCTGTCTAACCTTCAGTTCATATGCTGCCAGGCACTGTTAATTAAAGTGGTAAATCACTTGATGGACATTGATTGATTCTCCGTTTTATTTTGGTTTCCCTTCTGCATGCCGAATTGAGTGTATGGTTTGCTTTGTTTTGTTTTGACTGTTGTGTTGTTTTGTCAACTTACTCCTTAAAATTTTTTGCTTCACAGTGTGGGGATTTTGTTCTCATGTATTTTCTTTTTCTCTAAATATAAAAAGCAAATGGCCATTGCTACCAGCAAAAGTCATATGACAGCTAAGATTTACTGTCTGGTTAAGATCAGGAGTTCTGAATCCAAATATTTGTGAAAATTATTTAGATTAAGTAAAAAGTGTTGTATGAACAGCTTTGGACATTCCCATTGTGTGGACTTGATTATGACAGAGTCAGCTCAGTACAGATTCACGTTTGTAATAAGCTTTGCATGTAAAACAATGAACTCTCAATAAAAAGTACATTTTCATCTCCTGTTCAACAATGGCTAATTGTTTCTTTTCTATACCATTAGTGGAACTCCCTCCAGGAATTTATTTAGAAGTTATGGGATACCCTCATCAGCTTGTATTGAAACAATATCGGTACTTCAAAAATCTTTGTATTATTTAAGAAGAAACAATACAGTGTTAAGGTCAGGGTTCGTTAATGGTAGGGTTTTTTGTTGTTGTTTGACTAAGTGTGAAAAGGTGCGTGTATGTTCAGTTGTGGGTGAAAAAATGTTTTTGTGTTTTAAAACTACAAGTTTCGGAGGGGCTGGCTTGGTCCTGCCTCAGCTTGGTATGCCAGACTTTGTTGAGTCCCCAAGGAAGGCCTTTCCCCCTCTGGGGGTGGATGTGGGGGGGTGAGGAGGGAGAAGGGGAGGATGAGGGAACTGGAATTGGTATGTAAAATGAAAATTTTTAATTAAAAAAAGAAACTACATGATTTCTTCACTCAGAGTTGGAACTGCTACTAACCCGATCTGATGATGTTTGAAGAATTCCAGATCTCAAATAGCTTGAAACAGATAATAGAGTTTGGGAATGTAAAAGTCTAGTCTTTGCTTTTCTGGCAAATGGTTTACGTAACCTTTTAGCTAAGGTGTCATTCTTTGAACACCTGCACAAGCTAACCAGCCGTCTCTCTCCCCGGTGAACTCTCTGCTAATCTCAGTAACACCCCACACTTCTAGCAGGTGGGTGGGCATCCTTGTCAGGGGGTTTTTCCTAATGTCTCCTGTAAGAATGTTTTCCTCTAATTAGCACACCCAGTGTAAAAGTTTGTGCAAGATCTCCATCTTCTACTCTTTGTTTTTGAGATTGTGATAATCACAACATTTCTCCGTTCCCTTTCCTCCCTCTCACATATACCCCTCCTTCAGATTCAAAGATCTCATGATCTTAATGGAAACAGAAACCTTTGTCTTAGATCTCATCAGCACTCTGGGCTTTTTCGTTGCAGATTCACTGTGTGTGTGCAAGCATGCATGCGAACGTTAGTCAGCTGCTGAGGGCGTCTCCCGTTCCCTCACCCTCTGCTTTCTCTGCATCTTCTCTTTTATTTTATTTTGGCGGGAGGGGGGGGGGGGTGGCTTCGAGGCAGGGTTTCTTTGTGGCTTTGGAGGCTGTCCTGGAACTAACTCTTGTAGACCAGGCTGGTCTTGAACTCACAGAGACCCACCTGCCTCTGTCTCCTGAGTGCTGAGATTAAAGGCATGCACCACCACCGCCGCTGGGCTTCACATTTTATTTTTAGTGGCCTCAGAAAAAATTATATTATGTTAAACCTTTATGTTAAACAAATGGGACTAGTTATAATGGCCTTTGCAGCCTTTTATTTATTTATTTTTATGTCTATTGGGCTATAAAGAAAGCTAAAGCAAAACTTTTTTCTTTTTTTAATAATTTATTTAACTTTATTTTATGTACATTGGTATAAAGGTGTCAGATCCTCCGGAAATGGAGCTGCCAGGTGGGTGCTGGGAATCTAACCCAGGTCCTCTGGAAGAGCAGCCATCTCTCCAGCCTGACAAAAGTTTTTTTTTTAAATCTTGGGCTAAATACACACAGACAATTTCTATGACTGAGTCATAATATGTGTGTTCCTCATACATGCTAGGTTCTAGTAATAGTACCCTGCTAACAGGCTACGCTGCAGTTACTAATGTCTTTAAACAAGGGAAAGGCACTGTGTTAGCCTGAAAAAAAAAATAATGAGTCAGTAAAAATGAAAGTGCTTTATTTTATAGCAGTGGGGGAAAAAAAGGTTATTGTAATGGTTGCTTTTTATTTTTTTAGTTTTATTTTTATTTATTTAATGTGTCTGGTGTAAGGGTATCAGATACCCTGGGTGGCTGCTTTTTTTTTTTCATGTTAAAATAAGCTGCTGTTTGCTATATTACCTCAATTAATAGTTGCTATTCTTACTTAGACATTCTGGGGGCCATAAACAGCACATATTTCTGTTACAGGCTTTTAGTCAGAGAAATGTTTGTCTTCCTTTAAAATCTGAACTATTTCCTGTGGTTAACCTAAGGTCGAAGCTGTCATTGGGCATTTTAACATTATAGGAGGAAATTGTTAAGAAAGATGAATAGGAAGGTGTCAGGTTTCTTTTGCTGTTCTAGCAGTGGAAAGGTGTAAGCAAAGCTGTCCATCAGAGGTAAGGGATCCACAGAAGAATCAGAAAATCGCTTTTAATAGAGAACACTCATTAGCTAGCATTACGTAGCTTCGCCTTCTGTGGGACACTGAGGGTTCCCGGAGCAGATGTTCAAGAGCCGAGAATAGCAGCAGTAATGCAAAGTATGAGAGTGCCACTTGAGTTCAGGTCGCCTACTGAGAAGGCAGGGGACATCATGGAATGAGTGAGAGCTTAAAAACGGCCATGCTCATGGGCGGCCTCTACCTCTGCTTGTAACCCCTTCAAGATCAGTGTGCTTTAGCTTCTGGTGGCTCCAGCGACTCTGTGCGTGCGTGCGTGCGTGCGTGCGTGCGTGCGTGCGTGCGTGTGTGTCCCAGTGTGCTCTGTGGTCAGAGATACATTTGCAGACTTCACAAAGCTCCTGCCTCGGGGCTGTAATCACTGCCCTACAAAGTGTTTGGCATGTGGTCTCAGTGTTCTCCGGTGTTTCTTATCTGTCAGGCATTAATCTTGCTTAGGAACCTAATGGGAATACAAGTCTTTGGCCCCACCCAACACCTGAATCAGAAAGGAACTCAGAGGGTAACATCACGGCTTCAGGTAATCCTGGCAGGTGAAATCTGCAAGTCACTGAAATGCATTGCTGTTTCAATCAAAGCAAAGGTTCCTCTTTATTTTTGTTGGCTTTGTGTTAGAGAATTATTGTGTAAAGAGAATAGTGTGAATTTTGGTCTTTGTTGCTTTCATTGATAAAGACAGTATCAGGAAATCCTCAAACAGGCCTTACCAGCTTGTGTGCCCTCTTAGTATAGTGTTATCGTTGGAAATCGGGTACCTTCACAAGTCCAAGAAATCAAGCGACAGAATCTTGGTTGTTCTCTTTCTTAACGGTTATTTCCTGAAGGGTGTTTTAGTAACAAGCATGCATTTTTATCAAATTGTAAAATTTGATTGGAATAAATAATCAGGTGCTTCGTGAGTGCTAGTTTTTGTTTTTGTTTTGCACATACAACACAGACACTATGGGGGTTCTCAAGGAGTCTATAAAGTTTCAAATTTCTTCTTCAGAAAAATCAAATGGTATTTTCTTTCTTTCTTTTTCTCCAAGACTAGGTTTCTCTGTGTAACAGCACTGGCTGTCCTGGAACTCGCTCTGTAGACCAGGCTGGCCTCAAACTCACAGAGATCTGCTTGCCTGTGCCTCCCAAGTGTTGGGATTAAGGTGTGTGCCACCACTGCCCAGGCTCCAGTGGCACTTTCTAGCTAATGGCTTATTGGTGACAGATACACAGTTGGCATTCCTGTGAGTAAAGATAATTTGGGGTCATTAGTTTCTTAAACATGTTTTTAAATAAGCTTTTAAATTAAAAAAAAGTTTTTAGAGGGGTATTACTATGTTTAATTACTGACTGGCCTGGAACTCGTTAGGTAGATCAGGGTGCCACTGAATTCAGAGAGATCCATCTGCCTCTGGCCCACAAATGCTGGGATTAAAGACTTCGTGCTGCCATCACCTTGATTTGGGGAAGAAAAGAAAAGCGTTAGTACATGTGTAGCTCTACAGAATTAAAGCTGTACAGAGAATTCTTAAACCCTGTGCACTTCCCATATGGCATCTTACGATTCATATTGCGCAATGTTCATAATGAGTATTGATGAGTTAGTTCCTATTTCTTCATTGTTACTGTGTGTGAGAGAGGGGGGGTGGGGGAGAGGGGAGAGAGAGAGGAGAGAGAGAGAGCACATGCGTGTTCCAGGACCTACTCCAGACTGCAAATTACACAGTTCTGTTTTTGCATCTTAGGCTCCTCCTGGCTGCACTTCTCAGATGTCCCTTCATTTTGACAATCTTAGCTGTCTCCAGTATTTGGTCACATCTTCCTCCTGGCAGCCCACACGCCCAAGTCCAGGAAATCTCAGTCTTACTGATCTTACGTTACCATCTACCCGCTTTCCCTGGGGGGGGGGGGGGGGGTTCAGAGTCTATTTTCCTATAAACATTTCCTTATGGCTTTCCTGTAGTGAGAACAGGGAAAAAAGTAAACAACAGTAAAATAATTAACCACAGTATTGTCATAGCAATAAAACGAGTGTGACTTCTTTAATATGCATTTTGGTGGGGCTCTCGGAGAAACGGTCGTGTCGGACTTATTAGAAGACAACTTCATGAAAATGAGGAGGGAGCTAAGAAGCGGTTGAGGAAGCGGTCAGAGGCTCAGGGCTCCTTGGTGAAGGGAGCGGGAGGGAGGGTGGAGGGTTCTGTGAAGACCCTAAGGCGGATGAGGAACCCTAGGGGTCAGGGAGCTTCCTGCTGAGGCTCGTGGGTACACGTGCTGCCATGCTCACGCTCTGGTCATTGGCTGCCCCTGTGAAGCCAGCGAGAAGGCTGCCTCAGCTGAGGTCCACACTGAATTCAGCGCACAGCTGTCCTTTGGTTAGCGAAACAGCTCGAAGCTGACATCTGACAACTTTACTGTGGTGGGCTGTTCCACAATGGGATATTGTGTGTGCAGATTTCCTCCAGGTACTAAAGGAAAAAGAAAGGGCCCTTTGCCTCTTGGCTTTTTCTGGTAAAGATCTGCTCTGAGAGTCATCCGTGGCATTCGGTATAGTTAAGTCTCTTGTAACCTAGTAATTAGTCCCACATTCTATTTAATGCCACTTTTTAAGTGGAAGACCTTGGATAATTGGCTTGGTAGAATTCCCTGCAGTCGGGATTTGGCTCTTTGAGTCTGTATGGTGCTATCTGACATACGCCTCTGCACCCTCTGTTTTCTCTAAGTTGATAGATGTACTGTTTGTTAGACTGAAAAGATAGCGTGCAATTCCCGATGCGTCACGTGAGGAGCTATAGTG